GGTGGAGAAAACCCCGCTTTGGAGGCCCGATTTCCACCCCCCGGGGGGAACTCCGCCCCCCAAAGAGCAGCGTGACGATCATGGCCACGCCCCCAACGTGGGCAACGTCGCACGTCACTTCCGTTGATGTGCTGGCGGCACGCACGCGCGCATCCGGAACCAGCTCCCACAGCCGGCGGAGCCTTCCCCGCCGGTGAGTTTGCGGGACTTGGCAACCCTACCACAAATGTATCTGGCCTTGTGTCAGAAGTAGTTGCATATACATCAGTACCAATATGTACCTTCCAGTTTAGGTCCTAAGAGTGCAAGTAAAATTGCCTTATCAGGGACAATGTGACATCAGTATGGGCTGAAACACTTCAGGTTGTACACTATTCCTTTTTGTGCGTTTGTAACTTTGAACAAGGTTTTTGCTTGGTTGGTTTAGTCCCCCCCCCTTTTGTTTGGGTCCGCTCCAAAAATCTCCAGGGATTTTCCAGCCGAGCTGGCAACCCTAGCTCCGGTAGAAGGAAGACTGGAATTCCGTCAGGACACAGCCACCCTGCAATACAAAAGTTCCCTCAGGTTCCTTGAAGGCTTAGCACGAATCTATTTACTCACTTAAACATTTATATCCCATCTTTTCTTGTGGTTCACAGTGGCTTACAAGTCTGGAGCACAGACCTTGTATCTCTGTATAGGGAAGCTGAGGTAGAGAGGCCTTTCCCACAGCAAGGCAGGGTGTCGAGGGTGGGGAAAGGGGGCTGACTCCCACCCTGTCTTTATCTCCCTCGCTTCAGAGGCCCCAGCCTTCGATCCAAGCCGGAGCTCTTGCAGGTTCTCGAGCACAGGAACCGGCGCCGGGAAGGGATAGAGAACAGCGTAGAACTGTCACCGCTGGAGCAGGAGCTACAGCGCTGGCAGCAGAGGAGAGAGCAGGTAAGCCTCAGATACCGGTGATGGCTGTCGTTGAGCAGGTAAGCCTCAGATACCGGTGATGGCTGTCGTTGAGGCTGACCTTCCTCACACCCTGCCAGAAGTCATTGACCTAGAGCTGTTCGGAGGGGGTGGTCTTGAAAACGCAACCTCCGGAGATGTCTGAAACCCCTCTTTGTCTACAGCGTCAACAGCAAGAAGAATCAGGCGAGGCTCTAGACGACCAGCCAGAGTTCATCCAGGTCCGGGAAAAACTACGCAGGATACAACGCTCGCTAGATGTCTCTCCCCAGCGTGTAACCCCGTCCTTGACACCCGGCTCTCTTCTGCGCCCTCGTCTAACCGATGTGGAGTTCTCCGGGGGCCAAGCCTCCCCTTCCCCTGAGGTCCCGGATGCTGACAGTCTACCGCTTCGGGGCTCCACGGAAGCCTCCAGCATTTCCTCTGCCCCCTCTCAATGTTCTCTTGCCAACTCATGACGCGCCCCCTTCCCTGGCTTAGCCACAGACCTGTTGTGGCTCCCTTGCGTTCCCGTTTCAGATCTGGGAAGAGAAGCCGGGAGTTTGAGTTTCCCGCATCCCTTCCTCTAACCCACGGGTCCTCTTCAGGACAGAACGACTTCAGGGCCAGAGGGGGTACGAGGTTGGCCTGATCCGTGACACTTCTCCCCCCCCCCCCACTGGTTTGTCAGAAAATAAAAGTCCCGCTAACCAATCTGGCTTGCTTCTGGCTTCTTGTTTCCTGTTCCGACAGGGGTGGGGAAAAGGCATTCTGGCCTTACGCATGTGTGCAAAGTGCCGTCAGGTCACAGCCAATGAATGGCAGCCCTGTGGGGTTTTCAAGGCAAGAGACATCCAGAGGTGGTTTATCATGGCCTGACTCTGCGTAGCAACCCTGGATTTCCTCGGTGGTTTCCAGGGCTTGGGGGGGGGGGGAGGTGGCAGGACTCTCAAGAGGGAAATGAAGTTTTCAATCAACAAAAGAATTTTGTTGGAAGAGGTTCCGGAACTCTGGCGCATTCCCCCCAGAAAAAAAGCCCTGGTGGTTTCCCATCCAAGTACTAACCCACCCTGCTTAGTTTCTGAGATTTGATGAGAATTCTAGGCCATCCAGGTCAGGGCGAGAGACGAATAGAGGCGGTTTGCCCTTGCCTGCCTCTGCGTAGCAACCCTGGACTTCTTTAGTGGTCTCCCATCCAAGGACTAACCAGGGCTGACCCTGCTTAGCTTCGAAGATCCGATGAGATCGTGTTTGCCAGGCGCTTCCAGGTCAAGGCAAGAGACTAACCGAGGTGGTTTGCCGTTGCCTGCCTCTGCGTAGCAACCCTGGAATTACTGAGGGCTCTCCCACCCAAGTACTGACCATGCCTGAACCTGCTTAGCTTCTGAGATCTGACGAGATCAGCCTGGGCTATCCAGATCAGGGCAGAGACATACAGAGGTGGTTTGCCCTTGCCTGCCTCTGCGTAGCAACCCTAGACTTCTTGGTGGTCTCTCATCCAAGTACTAACCAGGGCTGACCCTGCTTAGCTTTGAAGATCTGATGAGATCGTGTTTGCCAGGCGCTTCCAGGTCAAGGCAAGAGACTAACCGAGGTGGTTTGCCATTGCCTGCCTCTGCGTAGCAACCCTGGAATTACTGAGGGCTCTCCCATCCAAGTACTGACCATGGCTGAACCTGCTTAGCTTCTGAGATCTGACGAGATCAGCCTGGGCTATCCAGATCAGGGCAGAGACATACAGAGGTGGTTTGCCATTGCCTGCCTCTGCATGGCAACCCTGGACTTCCTTGGTGGTCTCCCCTCCGAGGACTAACCAGGGCCGACCCTGCTTAGCTTCTGAGATCTGAAGAGATCAGACTAGTCTGGGCCATCCAAGTCAAGGCAAGACATGAACAGAGGTGGTTTGCCATTGCCTGCCTCTGCATAGCAACCCTGGACTTCCTTGTTGGTCTCCCATCCGAGTACAAACTAGGGCTGACCCTGCTTAGCTTCCAAGAAGTGATGAAATGTGGCTTGTCTGTGCCATCCAGGTGAGGTATGAGCCAAGGAAAAATGAACACGGGGTGTGTGCGGAGGAATATGATAACTGAAGCTATTAAAAGATGACACATGAGTCATATCCTTTTTTTTTTTTAGAAAAAGTCTTCAGTGGCATTTATTAAAAGATTTGACACGTCACTATGTCTTTTAAAAAGCTGTGGATGGGCTGTATATATATCCCTTCCCTTTCTTCTCTCCCCTCAGCCCACAAGAGAGAAAGTCACCCCGATTATAAAGCAGAAGCTATACAAAATAGCAGAAAGATGCCCCTGAATAACTGACAAAACGATTGATCGACAAAAATCCAGGGACAGACGTGGAGTAAAGCTGCCATTAAGGGGAGGGGCCATGACTCAGTGGCAGAGCCTCTGCTTGGCATGCAGCGGGTCCCGGGTTCAATCCCCGGCATCTCCAGTTAAAAGGACCAGGCAGGAGGGGATGGGAAGGACTTTGACCCGAGACCCTGGCTCAGTGGCAGAGCCTCTACTTGGCAGCAGAAGGTCCCAGGTTCAATCCCCAGCATCTCCAAAAGGACCAGGCAGTAGGTGATGGGATAGACCTTGACCTGAGACCCTGGCTCAGTGGCAGAGCCTCTGCTTGGCATGCAGAAGGTCCCAGGTTCAATCCCCGGCATCCCCAGTTAAAAGGACCAGGCAGGAGGTGATGAGAAAGACCTTGACCTGAGACCCTGGCTCAGTGGCAGAGCCTCTGCTTGGCAGCAGAAGGTCCCGGGTTCAATCCCCAGCATCTCCAGTTAAAAGGACAAGGCAGGAGGTGATGAGAAAGACTTCTACGTAAGATAACTTCAGGGAGTTGCCCTGTGGGCCTGCAGTGGAACTGGGTCCCAGGGCAGTAGGACCTTAAATACTAACCAGATTTTCCGGGTATAAGCGTTCGAGAACTCTTCTTTGGGTTTTGGGGGTTATTTGTGTGTCTGCACCTTGACATCATGTCAACCTCTTGTGTCTGACCCCTGCTGGGGGCCTGGAGGATATTCAGAGAGGCGGCTGAATAAAGCCTGCCCCTGTCCTCCCGACTTGGTATTCCAAGGAAGTCTCCCATCCAAGTACTAACCACAGTCGACCCTGATTGGCTTCCGAGATCTGGTGAGATTGGGCTGGCCCGGGCTATCCAGGTCAGGACATGGCGGGAGCTTTGATTCTTGAAAGCAAATGTTCACTCTTGAAAGCCCAGGACTATTTTTGGGCAGGAACGCACAGGCTGGCTCCCGAGTTGGCCACGCCCAGCAGGAACTCATTAGCATAACAGGCCACACCCAACGGCAGAAACTCATTAGGATTGGCGACATTAGGGGTGTGTGGCCTAACATGCAAAGGAGTCCCTGCTACAAAAAAGGGCCCTGGGTTTTGACAACAAACAAGGTAAACAGAATAAGAAGCAAAAGGTAGGTGTGGCTGGATGACCACACTTCTAGCAACACGGGGCTGCGGCCTAATGTGCTAATGAGCTGTGCTGTCGGGGGTGTGGCCTAATATGCTAATGAGTTTCAGCTGTTGGGTGTGGCCTATTATGCTAATGAGTTCCTGCTGGAAAGCCCCTGTGAAAGCCCATGCCCCGAAAATTCTGTCGGTCTCGTAAGAAGCTCGAATCTAGCCACTCTACCTGAGAAAGACCTCTGCCTGGAGAGCCGCCGCCGATCTGAGCAGACAACACGGACCGTCATGGAACAATACTCTGATTCGGTATAAGGCAACTTCCTGTGTACAGACATACCCCACCACAAGTGTTCCCTCCAAGCTGAGTGAGTGTGAGCCAGCTCGCAGTTTTTTAGCCTCCGGCTCACACCTTTTTGTCTGAGCTCAGGACGGATGGCTCCAGAGCAAGCTAATTTACGCAGTAGCCAAATCGCTCACTCACAACCAGTGTTCCCTCTAAGCTGAGTTAGCGTGAGCTAGGTCACAGTTTTGTAGCCTCCGGCTCACACATTTTTTTTGTCTCAGCTCAGGGAGGATGGCTCCAGAGCGAACTAATTTATGCAGTAGCCAAATGGCTCGCTCACAACTTTAATGCCAGTTGCTCAGAAAGTAGAATTTTTTGCTCACGACTCCACAGCTTAGAGGGAGCACTGCCCACCACCCCTCCCCTCCAATTTTTAGGTTAGATGAACCAGAAGGCACTTGGCGATGGCCCAATATAAACATCCCGCCCCCCCTCCCCCCAAATTAGACAGAGAGAAGATATGCCGGAAGTTTAGGCTTTAGTGCCGAAGATACTTCACAAAGGGGTTATCGTCTGCGTTGCCCTGCAGGAAGAAATAGGTGAAGGCCAAGAAACCGGCCAACAGCACAAACAGCAGGAGCTGCAGCCAGAGGGGCAGGTAACGCTTGGTTCCTTGATCGCTGCCCGGATCCTTTTCCTTGGCTTGGCGCTCGGGACGTATCGCACGGCGGGGTTCCACCCCCAGCGAGGAGGGGCCGGCCGATTTCCGATGGAAGACCGTCTGGTAGGAGCCGCTGTCCCTGCAACAGCAATTCCAGAGTACAGATATATTTTAATTTTATTTATTTAAAATTAAATTATTAATTTTATTATTATTATTAAATTATTTTATTCTATTAGCCGTCTTTCTTCCTTAAGGAGCGCAAAGCGGCTTAGAAACGTAACTAAAACACATAGCACAAAATACGTGCGAAACATAAAAACCAAAATTCAAAACCGCTTATTCAAGACTGCTAATAAATTTAACTGAATGCAGTCCTACATAAAACTATCTTCAGCTAAAGATTCAGAGGAGCCCATTGGCCCCTCCCCAGGGAGCCTGTTCCATCATTCTGGGGCTGCCACTGAAAAGGTCCTTAAGAACATAAGAGAAGCCATGCTGGATCAGGCCAAAGGCCCACCCAGTCCAACACTCTGAGTCACACAGTGGCCAAAACCCAGGGGCCCTCAGGAGGTCCAGCAGTGGGGCCAGAACTCCAGAAGCCCTCCCACTGTTGCCCCCCCAAGCACCAAGAATGCAGAGCATTACTGCCCCAGACATAAGAAGAGCCATGTTGAGTCAGGCCAGTGGCCCATCCAGTCCAACACTGTGAGTCACACAGTGGCCAAAACCCAGGGGCCCTCAGGAGGTCCAGCAGTGGGGCCAGAACTCCAGAAGCCCTCCCACTGTTGCCCCCCCAAGCACCAAGAATGCAGAGCATTACTGCCCCAGACATAAGAAGAGCCATGTTGAGTCAGGCCAGTGGCCCATCCAGTCCAACACTGTGAGTCACACAGTGGCCAAAACCCAGGGGCCCTCAGGAGGTCCAGCAGTGGGGCCAGAACTCCAGAAGCCCTCCCACTGTTGCCCCCCCAAGCACCAAGAATGCAGAGCATTACTGCCCCAGACATAAGAAGAGCCATGTTGAGTCAGGCCAGTGGCCCATCCAGTCCAACACTGTGAGTCACACAGTGGCCAAAACCCAGGGGCCCTCAGGAGGTCCAGCAGTGGGGCCAGAACTCCAGAAGCCCTCCCACTGTTGCCCCCCCAAGCACCAAGAATGCAGAGCATTACTGCCCCAGACATAAGAAGAGCCATGTTGAGTCAGGCCAGTGGCCCATCCAGTCCAACACTCTGAGTCACACAGTGGCCAAAACCCAGGGGCCATCAGGAGGTCCACCAGCGGGGCCAGAACTGCAGAAGCCCTCCTACTCTTGCCCCCCCCCCAAGCACCAAGAATACAGAGCATCACTGCCCCAGACGGAATGTTCCATCTATACCTATACCACAGATGGACCTCTGCTCCATGTGTTTATACGATCCCCTCTTGAAGCCCTCTCTCACATACCCACCAAATGAGCTTCTTTGATTGATGGGACAAATCAGGAGGGCCTGTCTCTGTGATCTTAACTACTGGGCAGGAACATATAGGAGAAAATGGTCCTTCAGATAACACAGTCCCAAGCCATTCAGGGCTTTAAATCGCTATTTTCCCCCCTGAGGACAGTGTGGGGACCACTTAGGTAAAGGTAACGGTTCCCTTGCTCGAAAGCCAGTCGAATCCGACTCTAGGGTTGCGGATTCTCTGTTTCCAAGCCGAAGAGCCAGCGCTGTCTGAAGACGTTTCCGTGGTCATGGGCCGGCATGACTAAACACACCAAGGCGCATGGAACGCTGTTACCTTCCCACTGAAGTGGTACGTATTCATCTACTTGCAATTTCTTGCTTTCGAACTGCTAGGTTGGCAGGAGCTGGAACCAGAGATGGGAGCTCACTCCGTCATGCGGCACCCGGGTCTCGAACTGCTGAACTACCGACCTTCCACAGCCTGCAGTTCAGCGTCTTAACCACTTGAGCCAACTTACCCTATGACCAAAGCACTAAATAGACCTTTGTCCACATTTGACTGTGGTCTTCCTCAGTGTTACCTTTATACCACCGGGGGGCAGCACACCATACGTAGGTGTCAACACGTCTATCTATTACCACAACTCTCATATTTTTGCTTACCTGGCATCTAACCCAATCCCCAAAATGCCACTGCCCAATCTTGCAGACGCTAGCATTTACTACTGGCTGACTGGGTGGCCCGCACAATCTTAGGCCTGGACAGATCTTCTTTTTTTCCCTACCTTTCCATCCCAGGAGGAAGCCCCTGGTATTCCTAGAACCTTGAAGGTTCGTTCCCAGCAATGCCAGGGCTGATCTAGAAATAGCTGCGGTGGAGCAGCGCCATCAAGTTGCATCTGGCCTATGGTGACCCCCCACGGGGTTTCCAAGGAAAGAGCTGGAGAGCTGGTTGGCCACTGCCTGCCTCTGCACAGCCGCCCTGGAGTTCCTTGGTGGTCTCCCATCGAAGTACTCATCACGGCTGACCCTGTTAGCTTCCCAAATATGAAAAGATGGGGCTAGTGGCTGGCCCCTGTGTGAGACGGGATGCCAGACTAGAGGGACCCTCCCTGGTCTGACCCAGCAGGGCTCTTCTGGTGTCCTTATCAGGGGAAGGCCTCGGCCTCTCTGCCCTGTTGCTGGCCCTCCAGAGGAACTGGCTGGCCCCTGCGTGAGACGGGAGGCTGGACTAGAAGGACCCTCACTGGTCTGACCCAGCAGGGCTCTTCTGGTGTCCTTATCGGGGAAGGCCTTGGCCTCTGTGCCCTGTTGCTGGCCCTCCAGAGGGACTGGCTGGCCCTTGTGTAAGACGGGATGCCGGACTAGAGGGACCCTCCCTGGTCTGACCCAGCAGGGCTCTTCTGGTGCTCTTATCAGGGGAAGGCCTCGGCCTCTCTGCCCTGTTGCTGGCCCTCCAGAGGAACTGGCTGGCCCCTGCGTGAGACGGGAGGCTGGACTAGAAGGACCCTCACTGGTCTGACCCAGCAGGGCTCTTCTGGTGTCCTTAGCAGGGGAAGGCCTCGGCCTCTGTGCCCTGTTGTTGGCCCTCCAGAGGAACTGGCTGGCCCCTGCGTGAGACGGGAGGCTGGACTAGAAGGACCCTCACTGGTCTGACCCAGCAGGGCTCTTCTGGTGTCCTTAGCAGGGGAAGGCCTCGGCCTCTGTGCCCTGTTGCTGGCCCTCCAGAGGGACTGGCTGGCCCCTGTGTGAGACGGGAGGCTGGACTAGAGGGACCCTCCCTGGTCTGACCCAGCAGGGCTCTTCTGATGTTCTTACCAGGGGAAGGCCTCGGCCTCTCTGCCCTGTTGTTGGCCCTCCAGAGGGACTGGCTGGCCCCTGTGTGAGACGGGAGGCTGGACTAGAGGGACCCTCCCTGGTCTGGCCCAGCAGGGCTCTTCTGAAATGTCCTTATCAGGGGAAGGCCTCGGCCTCTCTGCCCTGTTGCTGGCCCTCCAGAGGAACTGGCTGGCCCCTGTGTGAGACGGGAGGCTGGACTGGATGGACCACTGCTCTGATCCAGCAGGGCTCTCCTGATGTTCTTATGACCAATTCATTTAAATGAGGTATGTGCAGAAAAACGCCCCAGCAGATTGTGCTCCAGTGGTTGTTTCCCCTGCCCCCATGCTTAGGACGGCCTTCTCTCGGTTGCACTGTTTCTCTCGCTCCAGAAGATTGTTTCGCTTTTTAATCTGGCGTCCACCATGGGCTGTATTCAGCCTCCAGAAAGCAGTAATCCACACCACTGCCAACTCCCAGGACTACCCTGTCTCCTCGATGCCTTGATGTCGTCCCCACTCACCTCACGGATGGGACATCCGCCAAGCTGGAACTGTAGAGATACGGCTCTGCGATCTGAAAGGGAGAACGGGAGCTTTTCAACACAGGACAGGAACGGAGAGCTCCCCCTCTATTATTTATTCCTTGCTACTTATTGAATTCATTGGCATCCCGCCTTTCTCCCTGGTAGGGACCCAAGACGGCCTACATCGTCCTCCTGCCCTCCATTTCCTCCTCACAGCAAGGTAGGTTAGGCTGAGAGAGTGTGACTGGCCGAAGGTCACCCCTAGGGTTGCCAACCCCCCCGGTTTGCCAGGGGTCCCCCGTTTTTTGGGGGGTTCTACCCGTCGCCAGCCAGATGGCCAGCGGGAAAGCCCCGCCCCCAACACCCACACCCACCCCTCTCTCTCCCTTTAAGTGTGTGGAACCCGTGGGAAACGCGGCTGCTCTTAAAGGGGAAACGCCGGCTCCTGCATTTAAAAGGGAAACGCCGGCTCCGTGAAGGGGAGGGAACTGCCGTTTCTGGAGATCCGGTGCACGGGCGGGTGGGGTAGGGGCAGCGGATGTCCCCAACGTGACGTCATCACGTCGGGGATGCCCCGCCCCCTCCAGGAACGCCCCCAAAGTCCCCCGCTGGGGGTGGAAGATAGACTTGGCAACCCTAGTCACCCCGCAAGCTTCCATGGCGCGAGCAGGGATTCGAACCCGGGTCTCCCAGATACTAGTCCGACACTCTTCACCACTACCCCACACTGGCTCTCTGGCCTGCTTGTCAGGGAAACTGTTCCTGTGCTGTCGACAGACGTGGGGGGCCGCTTACCGGCTGGCGGGCGCTCACTCCCCCTAGATGTGACTTGCTGCTTATCGATGATTCGTAACGGTAGGAAGAGGTGGGGCTCTCTGATGAGTTGACATCCCAGTCTGGGGAGAAAGAGAGACAGACAGACAGACAGACAGACAGACAGAGAGAGAGAGAGAGAGAGAGAGAGAGAGAGAGAGAGAGAGAGAGAGAGAGAGAGAGAGATGCTCACCAATAGTTTGCAAGATTGGAGAGTATAATTAATGCTTCCACTTTCTTTCTTGGGGTGCCCGAGTCTAACTGGGGCAGAACCCCAGTGTCCATTATTTTACCTTTCTCTTTATATGTATAACGTCCTTCGTGGCTGGGGAAACTGTAGTTATGACTCAGGTAGGACTTTGTTGGGCTGGGATCTAGGCGAGACGGGGGGAAAAGGATGCATTAGAAAAAGAATCCTTATCTTCCTGATAATTTAGCTTTCGTTCATAAAAGTAGTAGATCTCTAGCCCTTGGGGGTTATGATTTTGTTTATTTAAAACACTCATTAGCCACCTTCCTTACAGATCTCAAGGTGGCTTATAGCATAGACAAAACACATTAAATTCCAATGGAAAACAGAAAATCGAGATTTAAAACCACAATTCAGGATTTCTAACTGTGACAACTGGCACTTAAATAGATGTATGAACCATATCACAAGTATATTAAAAATACTCTATGGCTGTAATATAACCAGTAAAGACTCAGTTCAGTCTCATATCATGTACTATTACCTTTTCTCAACAGTACAGAAACTCTTTTATCCTTTAACACACATTACTCATTCAACAATTATTCAGAAAAGTCTCCACTTGATCAATTCTTAAAAGGAAGGTCCAGCAACAATTCACCAAGATGATAATACCCAGACAAAGAGATCACAAGACTAATAGTTTTCATTTCCAGGCAAAGTTTATACAGGTGGCTATTTTCTTATAATGGGGTTTCCAGATAAACCACACGTTTCGGTATCTTCATCAGATAGTCTGTGTCATTTATGAATTCCCGATAGTTGTTAATGTATGAGTCTTTGTAAATATTTTACAGCAGTCTCCTTTGTTCTGAGGAAGACAAGTATATTTGTGATATTGTTCCTATATCTACTTAAGTGTCAATTGTCAACAGTATTTTTTCCTTTACTCTGCCTGTTTGACTACTCTCATTTCCTTTATCATTGATATCTGTAAATAACTTGATCAACGCAATTGATAGATAAATGTAGTAATTTGAGAACGCAGAAAAGATGAGCTTAGTAAAATAGATAATGCATTTAGAAATTTAATAAGCAGAAGAAATGATAAAAGTCTCTTGTTATATGTTATATGCAATGTTCCCTCTAAGCTGTGGAGTCTTGTGAGCAAAAATTCTACTCTGTGAGCTACTGGCATTAAAGTTGTGAGCGAGAGATTTGGCTACTGCAGAAATTAGTTGGCCCTGGAGCCCTCCTTCCTGAGCGAAGACAAAAATCTGTGAGCTGGAGGCTGAAAAACTGTGAGCTAGCTCACACTAACTCAGCTTAGAGGGAACACTGGTTATATGTTGTTGGGGGTAGTTGGGTGTTGTTTGTATGTATGTCTGTGGTATATAATGAAAAATAATAATAATAAAAGTGCACCCTCGGGTACTTAAAAAAAAAAGTGAGAGGGCCAGCACACCTCCCTGGGAGGCTGTTCCATGATCGTGGGGCTGCCACGAAAAAGGCCCTGTCTCATGCGCCCACCAAACAAGCTTCTGTGATTGGTGGGACAGTAAAGAGCGCTTAATCTTAATTCCCAGGCAGGAACATATTGGAGAAGACAGTCCTTCAGATATGGTAATAGGGTTTCCCCCCCCCCCCGTGGGGGAAGAGCAGAAAATGTACGCGGAAGATTTTCATGATGATCAATTTGCCCCTCCTGGCCACCAATCACACAATGTAGTTGCACAAAGCTTGCTCATTACGTACTGCAGAATCCAGAACCCCTCGCTTTTATTGAAGTGAAAAAGCAAGTTTGTAGCCCTTACAACTACAAAAGGGGTGTCTGAGTGCGATTGGATCATGCCCAGTAATACTGCAGTCCCTCCAAGTGGCAGCAGTTCAACGCTCCACATAATCCCACATTTCTCTCCCTAAACTGGTGAAGCCAAAGACATCGTACAGAATAATAAAATATACACAGTTGTTCAAAGGTGGAGCTTTTATGTAAGTGGTCGAAATGATCTATTCTTTTTTTTAAATCTATTCTCGATGTAGCTGTCTGATTTTGCAAGCACCTCTCTAAGTGAACGCTTCCTCTTTGCTGAGGTCCAAATGCTGCAACATCACAAACGCTGACCCAAATCCTACAAAAGTCAAGCCCCACAGCAATCAGCAACAACTTGCTTAATTTCTATAAATATCAATCGTTTCAGAGGGTAGTCACATTAGTCTGGAGTAGAAGACCTAGTTTTGAGCCCAGTAGCACCTTCGAGACCAACCAGAATTTTGGGGGATAAGCTTTCGAGAGTCAAAGCTCCCTTCATCAGATACAAGCAGGAACGGAGATCCCTCACCACTTGTAGCTGACAAAGGGGACTTTGACTCTCGAAAATCTGAAAAAATATGGGATCAATTTGTGATGGCTAAGATAGCAGATAAAGTACATAGAGCTCAAATTTTACGGTCCTCTAACCTCAAATTTGAATCAACCTGGTTCCCGATATTTTCATTTCTTACTTCACGGGGCATATTGCCAATAAATACCTGTTACCAAAAATGGGTTCTGATGTAACATACTAAGAGTCGAAATTTAAAGGATGCTTTCGTTATTTGTTATTATTATCTCTGGGGCTTTAAGTTCAAAAATACCTGAATGATACTGTAACTCTTTTGTAGGAATGTCGAGTGTTTATTATTGGATTCTTTGCATGTTCTTGTTTGCTTTGTTATGAAAAATGAATAAAGAGAAGAAAAAAAAAAGAAAATCTGGTCGGTCTCTAAGGTGCTATTGGATTTGAATCAATTACTTTCAAAAGTTCATATCTCAAAAATCTGGTCAGTCTCTAAAGTACTACTGGATTTGAATCTGTTACTTTCGAAAGTTCATATCTCGAAAATCTGGTTGTTCTCTAAAGGGCCACTGGATTTGAATCTATTACTTTCGAGAGTTCATAACTCAAAAATCTGGTCAGTCTCTAAAGTACTACTGGATTTGAATCTGTTAGTTTTGAAAGTTCATACCTTGAAAATCTGATTGGTCTCTGCTACTGGATTTGAATCAATTACTTTTGAAAGTTCATACCTTGAGAATCTGGTCGGTCTCTAAAGTACTACTGGATTCGAATCTGTTACTTCTGAAAGTTCATATCTCGAAAATCTGGTCGGTCTCTAAAGTGCCACTGGATTTGAATCTAGTACTTTCGAGAGTTCATGTCTCAAAAATCAGGTTGGTCTCTAAAGTGCCACTGGATTTGAATCTAGTACTTTCGAGAGTTCATACCTCGAAAATCTGGTTGGATTCTAAAGTGCCACTGGATTTGAATCTAGTACTTTCGAGAGTTCATAACTCAAAAATCTGGTTGGTCTCTAAAGTGCCACTGGATTTGAATCTGTTACTTTCGAGAGTTCATATCTCAAAAATCTGGTCAGTCTCTAAGGTCCACTGGATTCGAATCTGTTAGTTTCGAAAATTCATACATCAATAATCTGACTGGTCTCTAAAGTGCCACTGGATTCGAATCTGTTACTTTTGAAAGTTCATACCTCGAAAATCTGGTCGCTCTCTAAGGTGCCACTGGATTTGAATCTGTTACTTTGGAAAGTTCATACCTCGAAAATCTGGCTGGTCTCTAAGGTGCTACTAAACTCGAATCTAGCTACAAATACCAATAAGTTCTGAGAGCTTGAGAACTCTTCCTTGATCTAGGCCTCCCGATTCAGAATTACGTCTTAAACATTAGCAAGCGTACAACATACTAAGTCCATTTAGCGATTATGTTATTGATCTGTATTAACGGACTCAGAGAACAAAAGTTTGGCGTTACCTCTTAGTGAACGAAATACCCTTTCCCCCCCAAAAAATAAAAATATCCTGCCATTCATTACTCCACTGGGACTGCTTACACCCACAAGCCCTCCTCCCATGCACCCACGGCCCCAACCCTCCCTTACCTTCATTTCCATAGTCAGTATAGTCCTCATTGCTTGCAGAGTCGTAGCTTTCCTTTAAGCCAAGAGCTGTGTGAGGCAGAACAATCAGGGAGGATTTGCTTTGGTACTTTTCTCCCACCCACCCCAAAGCACAGCTAACGTGTGGTGGAACACATTGTCAAGTCAACGTATGGCGACCCTGTAGTGTTTTTCAAGGCAAGACATGCCTCTGGGTGGCAGCCCTACACTTCCTTGGTGGTCTCCCCTCCAAGCAGTGACCCTGCTTAGCTTCCGAGATCTGATGAGAGCAACCCAGCCTGGGCCATCCAGGTCAAGGTAAGGGACAAACAGGTGGCTTGCCGTCGCCTATGTAATGTATTCAATAGCTGCCATTGAATGCATAACTGTATGCAGGGCTTTTTTTGTAGAAAAAGCCCAGCAGGAACTCATTAGCATAACAGGCCACACCCAACAGCAGAAACTCATTAGCATAGTAGGCCACACCCCTGAAAGCACAGCACATTAGCATATTAGGCCACACCCCATGTCACCAGAAGTGTGTTCATCCAGCCACACCCACCTTTTGCTTCTTATTCTGTTTACCTTGTTTGTGGTCAAAACCCAGGGCTTTTTTTGTAGCAGGAACTCCTTTGCATGTTAGGCCACACACCCCAAATGTAGCCAATCCGAATGAGTTTCTGCTGTTGGGTGTGCCCTATTATGCTAATGAGTTCCTGCTGGGCGTGGCCAACATAGGAGCCAGCCAGAACTCCGTTCCTGTGCGTTCCTGCCCAAAAATAGCCCTGACTGTATGTGAACATCATAACTGAAATGCCATGTAAAGCTTCATCCTGGGCTAGGATCCTAATCCATCCAATCGTATTGGTAGCCCAGGAAGAACCAACCAATCAGGTACCAGCAAGCTCCCTGAGCGGGAACGTCTATGATTGGTCGTTATGTAAACAATCTTATTGGTTGGTATTGTACAATAAGGCGTGGCTACATTAGCCGGGAGAGTTTAAAAAGGGAGCAGCTTTAACACAAAAGCTGTTCTGGCTATCAGATGTTGATCCGTGTCGGAGTCGCGTTCGAGTGGATGAATAAAGCTGAATCTTTGCTGAATCACTCTCCGACTACTGTGTTAAGCGAGCGACTTAACAGCCTGCCTCTGCGTAGCAACCCTGGACTTCCTCAGGGGTCCCCCACCCACGTACTAACCAGGACCGACCTTGCTGAGCTTCCAACATCTGACAAAACCTGGCTCGCCTCGGCCATCCCGGTCAAGCCAAGAGACTAACAGAGGTGGGTTGGCCAGTGCCTGCCTCTGCGTGGCAACCTTGGGACTCCCTTGGCGGTCTCCCCTCCAAGCACTAACAACAGCTGACCCTGCTTAGCTTTTGCGATCTGACAAGATCAGCCTGGGCCGTTCAGGCCAGCGGAGAGACAAACAGAGGTGGTTTTGCCGTCGCCTGCCTCTGCATAGCAACCTGGGCTTCCTTGGCGGTCTCCCATCCAAGTACTCACCAGGGCCGATCCTGCTGAGCTTCCGAGAGCTAACTACACCCAGGTGGATTTTGTTACTGAGATGTTCCAGCCTCTCCATCCCAAGCACACACACCCCACCTCCAATTCTTTCTGGTGCCTCCACCTCTCCTCCCTTGGCTGATCGACAGCTTCCCGTGACGCATCCCTCACCTTCTCTCCCGTAGCTGAGATCCTCCCTGTTCCGAGGACTGACAAAGGTCTCTTGCATGTAGCTGTGGCTGCTCCTTGGCTCTGCGAGGGCACGAACACAGAGAAATGGGTCAGGTCCCAGGGCCTGCCGATGGGATACCTTTTCCCTACCTTGGCCAGGTTCTTCTTACCTGTGTAGGCCTCTGATCTTCCGGGGAGTCTCGTCCGCTCCGTTTCGTATTCGTAGACTTTCTTTTCGTAAAGCGGCCGAGTCGATCCTGGAGGGGCAGAATCCGGGGAGGGGGGCTCAATCCAAGCCAACACGATATTTCTAGCCCCTCCCCCCCAATTCCTCTCAAACGTTCACCTTCCAGCTGGGACTACCTTAGGGGCTGCCGGGAGTGGGAATTTGGGGGGGGGGCGTTCCTGGAGGGGGTGGGGATGTCGCGTGACGTCCTCAGTGTGACGACGTCGCCCAGAAGCGATGTCACCACGGCGGCGATGTCGTGCGGCGACGCTCTGCTTTGAGGGCAAAACTCTATGGTTTGAGGCCAGATTTACCATAGAGTTTGCCCTCAAGCCAGAGCATCCTCTGTGATGTCACTGATGTGAAGAAGTCCCTTCCAGGTGACATCATCACGTCAGGGACATCGCTGTTTAGAGGCCGGGTTTCCCCCGCTGGCAGGCAAAAGCCCCGAAAACTGGGGGGACCCCTGCCGAGACCTGGGGACTAGCAACCAATGCTCCCTGTAAGCTGCGGAGTCTTGTGAGCAAAAATCCTACTTTGGGAGCTGCTGGCATTCAAGTTGTGAGCGAGCGGTTTGGCCACTGCATAGATTAGTTTGCTCTGGAGCCCTCCTTCCTGAGCTCAGGCAAAAATGTGTGAGCCGGAGGCTAAAAAACTGTGAGCTGGCTCACACTAACACAGTTTAGAGGGAACGCTGCCGGCAATCCTAGACTACCTTCTCCAATCCCAATTTTATTAACTTATACCTCACTTTTCTCCCCAATGGAGACCCAAAGCGGGACTATCACGCCTTGCGATTTGGATGTTATGCCTCTGTTGATACACCCCAAGATCGCATTAGCCTTTTTTGTCGCCGTATCACACAGGCTGCTCATATTTAACATATGGTCCACCCGTACCCCAAGATCTTGTTCACACACACACACTACTGCCCAGAAACGTATCCCCACCATCCAGTACGCGTGTTCCTCATTTTTGTTACCCAGATGTAGCACTCGGTACTTATCCTTGTTAAATTGCATCTCGCTCACATCCACCCACTTTCCCAGTGTGTTCAGATCTCGTTGAATTCTATTGTTGTTGTTGTTGTTCAGTCGCACAGTCGAGTCCGACTCTTCGCGACCCCATGGACCAGATCACGCCAGGCCTTCCTGTCTTCCGCCGTCCTCTGAAGTTTGCTCAATTTCATGTTCGTTGCATCTATGACACTGTCTAACCCTCTCATCCTTTGCCGTCCCCGTCATCTTTGACCTTCAATCTTTCCCAGCATCAGGGTCTTCTTCTCCAGGGAGTGCTCCCTTCCCATTGGGTGTTTACTGCTCCTCCCAATTTGGTGTCATCTGCAAATTAAATGAGTAGCCCCTCCATGCCCTCACTGAAAAGTACCCGAGCCCCGTGGCACCCCACTGGACGCCTCCCTCCAGTCAGATGAAAGGCCACTGACAACTACTCTCTGAGTGCGGTTCTCCAACCAGTTCCCTATCTACCTAATTATCCTAGAGTCCTGTCCACAGCCCTCTAGTGTACCCATCAGAACATCACGGGGAACCCTGTCAAACGCTTTACTGAAATCCAGGTTGACAACATCAATAGCATTCCCTCGATCCAGTAAGCTCGTCACTCAGTCAAAGAAGGAAATGAGGCTGGTCTGGCAGGACCTGTTGGGGACAAATCCGTGCTGACGGGAATAGTAATGATATTAATTACAGAGATGCTCTGACTATCAATCAGGGAAAG